TACATTTTGAATGTAAATATATTCAACATAACTTTTTTTAAAAAGCCCCTTACGCATTGTTTGTCTATTCACATGTGTAAATTTTATAAGCGTAAAATAAAATCGTCTAAAATTCTTTATAAATTAAACTTCCGAAATTAAAAAATGTAAATAAAAATTTATATTTATCCGAAGTTTTACTCAAAAGTATTTTTATTTGCAGCATTTCCTATTAAAAGAATATCTATACCAAAAAATACTTACTTTGAAATCTTGACATATTCACAATTTTGACACATTTTGTTTCTTTCGTCATGTTTGAATTTGCGGATTTTTTCTGCATGTAATATTATATATTAATTATAAAAGGTTCCTAATTTTTTTGCGTTATATTCCAAGTGGAAATGTTTCAAAAAACCATGTGAAATTCGCGTAGGTAAATGAAAATCCACGTAGATTTTGACAATTTATACATGAATTTCTACATGCATTTCCACGTGAACATTTTCACCTGGATTATTAAACGAACATGAAGCAGATCACGAATAACACATTAAAAACAAACGCCCCTGCCTCGACTTTCAAGTTTTTGAAAAAAACTTCGTTTTTTACCCTCCTGGCTCTTTGCGCCGCGACCATACCTCGTCTTCTCTTTGGGGTTCATTAAAAACAACCACAATACCACACATGCAGAATTAACTTAGTTGATTCCTCAATAACACAGTAAAACACAGAATATTTTGACACAGTAAAAACCTGGGTTCATTTTTTATGCGGTTTAAAATGAGCCAATGCTAAACGACATAGAACGTGGCGCCACCTACTTGACTCATTTTTGCTGCAGATCAAAATGATCCTGCTGACTGGATCATTTTGAGCCCGGGTTTTTACTGTTACATCCAAAATATACAGTGAAAAGTATTTTTGATTTTCCAGAAACAAAAATCTTTTAAAATGGGAAACTCGTAAATGAACGTTTCTTCAATATTTTTTACAAAAAAATGTTATAGTTTATGGAATTGAAAAAAAGCAAACCTTAAAGTGTTCAATATAAGCTATATATAATAATTTTTTTATATAAAAATATTACATATGCAGCGACGTTACAGGCGTTTAAAGTAGATCTTTGGTTTTGCGCCGTGCAGCCTACTGGTCTCAAATCTCAACCAACATCAAAAAAATAAACTTTTTATCGTTAAAATATACAAATACGCGTTACAAATGCAATACAAGAAAGTAGTATGCATTTGAAGTTCTACACTTATATGTATACTATAGAGACATTTATACTTGATACATTATATTAATAATGTATTATTAATTATCATTCTACAGATAGTAAACTAATTTTTAAAGCAAAAAAAATGTAAAGAAATTTTTTTTACGGAAACATAACTTATCATTCGTTTGCTCTTAATATACCTTTTTCCAGAGCGCGTCATACTTTGTACAAAAATAGTTAGGTTAATGTAAAATTAGGTGAGGAGGGGGATTGTTGATTGAAAAAATATCAGAGGGTTTCGAGGCAAAGACGAACAGTGATTAATCAAAAAATATTTCAAGTTGCCATGGTACGGTTTTCAATGGAAAGAACTACTATGGTAACGGTTACTATAACCGTTGACATGTTTCTATGGTGTATGATGGTCAAATGGAGGCCAAAGTGAAATTATAAGGGTACCAGCCTTGGGCTATGAAACTCTAAAAAGGGTTTTGTTTCTTTCTATTTCAGAACGATCCCCCCTTCTACGTAAAATATTTATTTATTTATATATTATATTATTCAATTATAAATTTTTTTAGTTTAAGAATAGAAATCAATTACAAAAGCGCAGTAGTATTATTATTATCATTATATAGAATAAAACGCAGATGTGTTACAATGAGAAACGTAGGAAGGTTGTCTGTTACACAAGAGTCTTGTTGGATTTAAATCATAAAACAATAAAAAAAACAATTTTAAGAATTTATTTAATTTAAAACTTAATTTTCTAAATAACTCAAAAAACAAGATTTTTTTAACACGAATTTAGTGTTTTAGGTGATATTACGAATTTGGATTTTGTTAAATGGGAAAAAAGGTGAAAACTGTACCCGGCTGAAGAAACTTGTACAAGAAAATGTACAAGTTCTTGTACATGTTCATTAATGCCCTTGTACATTTTCTTGTACATGTTTAAGTAATGTTCTTGAACAAGTTCAGCATCCGGAATTGAGACATATTCTTGTACCAGAACTTGTACATGATCCTGGTCAAGAAAATGTACATGTTCTTGTACATACTTTTTTGAGCAGGTTTCATGTTCTGGTACAAGAACATGTCTCAATTCTGGATGCTGAACTTGTTCAAGAAAATTACTTAAACATGTACAAGAAAATGTAAAAGTTTATTAATGAACATGTACAAGAACTTGTACATTTTCTTGTACAAGTTTTTTCAGCCGGGTAATGTCGAAATTCAACAAGCTTTAATCTTGTTGATATAATTAAGTGATAATTACTTTTTGCAAAAATATTTTGCATAAAAAATATTCAAAAATATCTATGTTAAGTATTATTTACTGTTAATTTACAAGAAATATGTGCACAATAAGATTTCAAAAAATATTTTGATTGATTCAAAAAATATATTACTTAATTTAAGAATTTTTTAGTTTAAATTATTATAATTGAGCCGCCGGAAAGTAAAAGGGCGCATAAAATTTGTACGGCCGTTCGAGTTGGCCCCTGACGCTTGAAAAATCGATTTAAAAAAAAAAATTTTTTTTATTACTACATTACTGGAAATTTTATTCCGCATCTTTTTTCTTCTATGAAAAAAATCTCTATCTTTTTCGGTTTTCGAGTAAATAAAAAAAAACTGGATTTTTAAAAAACACAAATTTAATTAAATTTTTCACTTCAACTCGCTCTAAAAAACAAAGTTATAAATATTTTTTGACAAAATTTACAGGAATTATAGTTTAAACTATTCTTAAGACGACAAACTTTGTAAGAATGTGATTTTTTTATTTCGAAAAAAGTTATGAATTTTTTTGTTTCACAGTGACAAATTTACGTTTCCAAATTTTCAAGGGCTTCGTTTATCTGAAAAATTTTCAGTCAGTGAAAACTTATCCCGAAAAAAATGTTCACTAGGTTCTTACAAACATTTTTGTAAAATATTTTTGCAATTAGAATAGCCGTTTACGAAATATTATTGAAAAACTATTTTTCGTCGAACGCGCGCGAGTAAACATAAACGACCTTGGCAGCCATCGCTGAGTACTAGCCGGCTCTACACAAACGGGAAGTTTTTGACTCGCGCGCGTTTGACGAAAAATAGTTTTTCAATAATATTTCGTAAACAGCTATTCCAATTGCAAAAATATTTTACAAAAATGTTTGTAAGAACCTAGTGAACATTTTTTTCGGGATAAGTTTTCACTGACTGAAAATTTTTCAGATAAACGAAGCCCTTGAAAATTTGGAAACGTAAATTTGTCACTGTGAAACAAAAAAATTCATAACTTTTTTCGAAATAAAAAAATCACATTCTTACAAAGTTTGTCGTCTTAAGAATAGTTTAAACTATAATTCCTGTAAATTTTGTCAAAAAATATTTATAACTTTGTTTTTTAGAGCGAGTTGAAGTGAAAAATTTAATTAAATTTGTGTTTTTTAAAAATCCAGTTTTTTTTTATTTACTCGAAAACCGAAAAAGATAGAGATTTTTTTCATAGAAGAAAAAAGATGCGGAATAAAATTTCCAGTAATGTAGTAATAAAAAAAATTTGTTTTTTTAAATCAATTTTTCAAGCGTCAGGGGCCAACTCGAACGGCCGTACAAATTTTATGCGGCCTTTTACTTTCCGGCGGCTCAATTTTGCTTTGAACCAACCAAATATGAATAGTAAATATTCACTAAACATACATGTTTTTCCCTGAAAGTTAGACCTCATTTGATAATTAAGTAAATAATTTTTTTTTGCAAAACTATTCTCCATATAAATTTTTTTGTCTATTATAGAAAAACATGTGCCAAAAATTATTTAAACAATAAGCATCTAAAATATTAGTAAATAATATTAAAACTAAAAGAACAATAACTAGAAAATAAATGATACACAAAGCATTCACTTCTAATGCAAACTAATGTTCTTTAAGGCTTCATTACATCCAAAATATACAGTAAATACTACTTTTTGTTTTTGGAGAAACGGAAAATTTAAATAAGGTAAAACTGTCTTAAACATAACCTATAATTTGTTTGCTTCTAAGATATCTTTTCTCAGAGCGCGACATAGTTTTAAACAAAAATATTTAGGCTAAACTATTTTTTACTTTTTAAAAAATTATACTTTTTAATCTTGAAAATTTTCTGTAAAATTTTTTCATGGCAATAAAATTCTTAAAATATTTTAAGTAAAAAATTATTTTCTTTAACAATTTTTTAATTAAAAAACGTTATTTAAATATTATTTATAGAAATTATTCGTTTTTAATACACAAGGGAAAAAATATGTCAAAAAAATTACTATTAAATGAATTGATTTTTATATCTTAAAAAGGTATACAATATTTTTTATGAATTCAAACAAATCAAATTCTGTTAAAAAAATTTTTATTGTATAATTTTTTTAATTAATTCTTAGTGAAATTATAAGTACTTTTGTTTGAAAAAATAGCCAATTTATAATAATCAAATACTATACAATTTAATCAGATTTAAGTTTATTTAATTTATAAATTAAAAGAAAAAATGTTTACAAAACTAAGATTTGTTTGTGGAATATATGAAAAATGATGAACAGTCAAAAGTAATATAAAATTTGCTAACCTTTCGCTCTCCTATCACTCGTCTATGCGGACTTTTTCACAAGTTTTCCACAAATTGGAAAAATTTTCTTTGTAACACGATACACTGATGCGACTGCACGATAAGTATGCACGTATCCAAATGACCGCTTCAGTTATCACACCACTTTACCCTGCTTCACATCTTCATAAGTAGGGGTGTATTAGAAGGCGCCGTAGTTGAAATGTAAGGCGCGGAGAAGACAAGAATCAATCTGTTTTCGGGAATGACCGCCTAATTCGCTACTATACTACGGTTCATAATCGCATTTCTACTTCTATGTACCGGCAAACTTGTTGCTCCCTTGCGGTGTTGTTTATACCTCGTTTTTTGTGCTCTATGTTCTTTGGAATCCTTTAACATCGTCAACTGATTGGAAAAAGGTTAGTTTTGAAAGTTGAAGAGTTATTCCAATAGTCAATAGATTATATTTATTTAAATGCAAGTAAAGAAAAAAAAGTAGAGTACCATTTAATTTCAAAAATATAACGTTTCATTTTACTATATATATATATACATGGGTAAAGAAAAATATAAGAAAGAGAAATACTGTTTTCATGAGTACACTTGCACTCAGGAGAATGAGTATATATATATATATATATATATGTGTGTGTATGAATGTCTAAACTATACACTAATCCAGAAATCCTAAAAATATAAAAATGCATAGATAAAATAAATTCAATGTTTAAATATTATATTAAATAATTAACAATATATAAATAAAATACCCTTTTACATTATCTTAAATATCAATAAATAAAATAATAGAAATTATTTTATTTTGCAAAATTATTATAAAAAATTAATTAATTATTTTAAAAGAAAAAAGTTTAATTATTAATAAAAATTAAAGAAAAGAAATATTAAGAAATGAATTTAAATCTAGAGAAATGGAATTTCGGAAATAATAGAAAGAGACAGAAGACATTCATAGATAACACTGTATAAGAATACCTAAGGAAAAATAATAGTAAGAGGCGAAAGATATAATTTCGAATATAAAGAAATTATTAATTTAATTCAAATTTAAAGATTTTTTATTAACAATATTAATAAAATAAATATGAAACAGTTAAATTAATTAACCATATTTTTCATTTTTTTTACATAAAATAATATAAATTATTTTATTTAATTGCTTAAAATAATAATATTAAAATAAAAATTATATGTTAAATAAAAGTAAAAATTATTTAAAAATTTATGGTAAAGGTAAAATTTTTGTCAAATTATTATTTTTTAAAATATTAAAGATTTAAAGAAATTACAGTAATAATTGAGAAATGATTGACAGCTGAACAATGGCATTGTTCTCTGTATACGTTACAACGGAATTAGAAAGAGAGAAATCGCTCTGTCCTTACCAAAATAATTTAAATATTATTGGCTAAGAAAAAAGGACGCCGCGAAAAATGCGATTAGAGGGAAAATTTGGCGGTAAGAAATATACAGCAAAAGTATACGAAGAAAGGTAGGAAGGGAAAACCGCGGATTGTCAAGCAATCAGCTGTCAGAGTCTCTCTAACACACTTACTAAATTTAAATATACAAGGGATATAGAGAAATTTGGGGGATGAAGCGTCTTCTCGAGTTAATAAATAGAGAAGGAGACCCAAATTTGGACATAATATCTGAGAGGCTGGTGTAACAACCGTTCCAACTCAGAATTATATAAGAAATAAAACATTTTAACAAATAATAAATTTAAATTCAATATTAGGAAAGTAGAAGAAACAAAAAAGTGAATAATCACTTTAATTGAAAATACATAATTCTACAAAGTCACGCCATGGAGAAAGACTTGAGGGGTTTCTGGTAACTCGGAGTACCACCTCATTATCTGGATCCTTAAGTGGTATCAAAAGCAAATCGTAAGTCTCTTGAAGATACATATATCTCAAATTCATTGCAATAGGCGATCAATTTGTTAATGTGTAAGATTCAATTGAGGAGCCGGATCGTAGAACCGATTCTTCGCTCGAACTCACGCAGAAGTATTGTCCGCCCCTCCACTATACCATCAAATTTTAAAACTCATAAATAAAATATTTAAAAAATATTATGTTATGCAGAAGAAAAAAATACATATTTTATCTATTTGAAACTTTTTTCTAAAATGTAATTTATTAGTACTAAAAAATGAAAACTGAAAAATTTTTTTTTCGAAAATAAATTACTTTTTAATAAATATATCGTCCTTTTTCGGTCAAATATTGACGAAATTTTGTGAAATTTTTTAAGCATACACAATATACACAACAGAAGCCTACAAGCTATAAAAAATAAGAAAAATCACATTATTTATTTATTAAAAAATTTTAAAAGACGTCATTTACAAATAGAGGAATTTCACTTTTCAACACAAAAAAGTATGCGATGAATTTTCAAATTATGAAAACTTCTCGCGAGAAAGTTTTTCCTTTACTAATCAGGAAGTTTTTCCCACAATTTCAAACTGATTCGTATATGAATAAAGAAAATACGAGGAAAATAGCGAAACCGTACTTTCGTTCGCAACGAGAATGTAAAAAGGCAGACATGTTTGTCGTCGCAACGTCGCGCGCGCGAACACACACACACACACATATATGTAAACAACTTGAGGAAGCCTTAGTTGCTGCTGTGTGTGTGTGTGCGCGCGTGTCATTGCGACGACAAACATGGCTGCCTTTTTACATTCTCGTTGCGAACGAAAGTACGGTTTCGCTATTTTCCTCGTATTTTCTTTATTTATATTCGAATCAGTTTAAAATTGTGGGAAAAACTTCCTGATTAGTAAAGGAAAAACTTTCTCGCGAGAAGTTTTCATAATTTGAAAATTCATCGCATACTTTTTTGTGTTGAAAAGTGAAATTCCTCTATTTGTAAATGACGTCTTTTAAAATTTTTTAATAAATAAATAATGTGATTTTTCTTATTTTTTATAGCTTGTAGGCTTCTGTTGTGTATATTGTGTATGCTTAAAAAATTTCACAAAATTTCGTCAATATTTGACCGAAAAAGGACGACATATTTATTAAAAAGTAATTTATTTTCGAAAAAAAAATTTTCAGTTTTTATTTTTTAGTACTAATAAATTACATTTTAGAAAAAAGTTTCAAATAGATAAAATATGTATTTTTTTCTTCTGCATAACCTAATATTTTTTAAATATTTTATTTATGAGTTTTAAAATTTGATGGTATAGTGGAGGGGCGGACAATACTTCTGCGTGAGTTCGAGCGAAGAATCGGTTCTACGATCCGGCTCCTCAATTGATTATGAATCCCTGTCCTCCAATCAATAGTTAATTTAGGAAATAAATAATTTATTTAAATTATTTATTTAGTAATTTTCCAGAGAAGTAAATAAGTTTTTCATTTATTTTCCGTTTGACTTAGATCATTTTAATATGTTGTTAAATTAATAACATGTTAAATAAATTTGCGTTTAAGGAAAATATCTGCAAAATTAATTTACTTATGATAGATTATTGAATTTAGGGAATAGGGAATTTGACCTTGATAGCGGTTAGGAATTGTCAAGTTTCTTTTATTTTATTTAAATTTTATTTTATATTTTTTTATAGATAAGCCTACGAGGTAATTTAGAATCTCAATTGAAGAATAACAAAATAGTTGGAGAGAAATTAAATAAAAAGGTGAAAAGTTTAAGCTAAACAATAAAATTATTTCATTTAATTTTATTCAGAACGAACTCACAATAAATTATTTAAACCAAAATAATTGATAAATAATTATATTAGATGATTGATTGCATATTTTATTTTTCTATTAATAATTAATATTTATTTTTTTTGTAAAGTAAAAATATTCAGCTTTGAAACGATAAATGACATTAATTCATTTATAAAAGTAAAAGTGAATAAGAAAATAAACAGCTGATCTACCGAATAATTACTGGAAAGATTCCTCTAATTTGGTAAACAAGCAACAAGTTTTCTAAAAATAAAATAAACATTTTACTTTTAACATATTTGTAGAAACAATAAATTTAAGGATTAGTCTAATTTAAATTACTCTATTATATCATTACAATCATATCTGTTGATATAGCTGGCACGTGTCTATTGTATCAAATAATTAAATTATAAAATATAATGTCCCTTTAAATTTAGACAATAGCCATTCTTTCTTTTGTATAAAGTTACGTAACGTGGGTGATTGATATATAAACATTTATGTTTGTGGTCATTCAACCACATTTTTGAACTTATTAATTTCTCAGAACCGAATCAAATCAGGGCTAAGATAGATAAGGTAAACACAAACACGTATAATAGTATATATCCCCGGTGTGAGAGTTAATAATGCTTCAAAGTAATAAATTAATGAGAAATATAACATGAGGAACATTTGTCTGCATGTATGTGAGTGTTTATGGATGTGTGTATGGTACCGCGTTTTGTATACAAATTATCTCAAACAATTGGTGTTCTAAAAAAAAATATTTTATGCTATGAATTTAACTTTGTTTATTATAAACGTATTTCTAACATTAAAATAAATTACTTGATCTTTATAAATTATAAATTTCACCTAAATTTATAAAATTAATCGTTACTTTTAACTTTAATAAAATTAAATTTTTCAATCTTTTAATATTTCTTTTAGTTTTAAATTGCTGTTAATATTTACTTAATTATATTAATATTTAATGTTTATTTTTTTTAAACTTATCTAGTTAATTTCCTTAATGTTTTCATATATCAAATGAACATATTATTCTCAAAATTGAATTAAAAAATTCATGGCATATCACATAAATTAGCAAACTGCAATGTTTCCTCCGCGAGATAACAAAGGATATCTGCTTAATATTATTATTACATATGTCTGCAGAAAAAAATTAGTTTATTATTTAGAAAGCTAATTTTCAGCTATGTGGAAGGTAGTAATTAATTGTCACAGCTCAATATTTTAAATGTAAAAATAATTATTAACTATATTAACTAAAAATTAGAAACTATCTACAAATAGAAATTACTTATTTACATCCTAGATAAATGTTATCTGTGACAGCTAAATTTTTTTTCTATATATGAATTATTTTCAGTCATGTATTTCTTACAATTTATATTTATTAAAGTGACAACATGTTGGGACATTTAAAATTAATTCATCCGGTATTGAAGATAAAAAATTTATAAATTATATTTATTATTAATATTTTTATTATTAATGTATTATTACAAATATTAATTTCATAAAAATTAGTTTTTTTTATAAATTTAACTCAATAATAGTTCTTTTTAAAAATGTTGTTTTACATAAATGTAAAACTTATTTTTATACTATAAATGTAGCGTTTAAAAAAACTATTTTAACGAAAATAATTAATTTTCGAAAATGAAGTTTTAAAATAAATTTTCAATTTAAAAATGCTAATGAATTGGCTCAAATATTCGTCTCTTCTAATAAATGATAATTTATTAAACCTCGTAAAAACATTATTGCATATTTGCTTATATTCAGATAATTATATAACTGTCATTTTTTAAATTTACATCCTTTTGGACAATTGTGCACAACTTTTAGAATGAAAATTTTTTTGATACTCAAAATTCGCTTATCGAAGTACACCGTAAACATATACATAAAAATGGTTCTTATTATTTGCGTTGAAAGCATTCCCCATCATTCTTAATAACAGTAATGATGGACTCTTGAAGCAAAAGTACTTCATAGGCGTTTCTTAGAAAACCAGTTACCAGTTTTTTACTTAAAATAATTTAAATTTAATAAATGGAGAGAGTGCTAAACTTGATCCCATTTATTTTTAAGGCCTAATCAGTGTGCATGATAATAGCTACACGGTTAAATCTTAAGCACTAATTCAAAGTTTTTTTTCAATTTTGCTTTATATGATGTATGATTTTTTTATAATATCAGTTTATAATATTTTTACAGCTAACTGCAATGACTGATACTCCAGTAGCCACTGATAGTGTCAGTAACCCGAAAGTTAATGTAGAAACGAATAGCCCTCCAACTGGCTCTAAGTCAGGTGAAGAAAATGTGAGTATTCTGGAATTAAAATGACTCTTTTTAGTCTACTAATAAAGAACCTTTTCTTTCTGCATTTTTTAAGATAAAAGAATAAAATAAAAAATCAGATTTTAGAGCTGATTTACAAACATTATAAATTTACTAAAATATTTTTCTGATTTAAGAAAGATAAAATTTGTTGAATGTAGAGGGGACCAAACTTGGTCTCGTTTATTTGTCAAGCTTAATTAGTGGGCGTGTTCGGAGTTAAACAGTTTAATCTGCAGCACTAGTTCAAAGTTTTTCTGGATTTTTCTTTCGACTTTGTAAGATTTTTTAAAAATACCAATTTATAATATTTTTTTACAGCCCGGTGCAGTGACTGATACTGGCACTGATGATACCATTAACTCGAATGATATTCTCGAAACAAATAGCTCTCCAATTAGCTCTAAGTCGAATGAAGAGAATGTGAGTATTTCTAAATTAAAAAGATTATTTTTAGGCTTCTTAAAAAAGAACAGGACTTTTTCTTTCTGCATTTTTTAAGATAAAAGAATAAAGTTTAAAAAAAACATATTTAAGGGTTATGTGGGAACCTCCCACGTGACCTAGTATGGGAAAATGTGTTTTGGTAGTATACATTTCACTCTGAAATGAGAAAAGATTTTTGTCTAAAATTTTGAGGGATGATAGATTGGGGCACAAGGAATCTCGCTGTTCTCCGAAAAATACATAATTTTGAGTTAAATTATTAAAAAATGATGTTTAAGAAGTGACATTTTTAAACGAAAATGAAAACAAACATGGCGGCGTATACACAGACGTTGCTTGAGTGTGTCAGTGCTCCAGTAAACAGCGCCAATTCGAGCGAGTGGCCGCTGAATGAACTATGATAAAACACATTATTTTTCTATTTATTGCTTTATTTTTATTATTTTCGCGTTAAGTTATAGTAAATGAGAAAAATAGCGAGATTTCTTATACCAAACTAAATCATTTTTCCAAAATTTTAACCCGAAATCATTTTTTATTTCAGAGAAAGTTTCAAACCACAAAAAAACGTCCTTTGCCCACATACCCTTAAAACCTTATTTACTAACATTATAAATGTACAAAAATATTTTTTTAACTTTAAAAAAATTGAAATTTATTGAATATAGAGGGCTCTAAACTTGGTTCTGTTTATTTGTGAGGCCTAATTAGTGGGTATTATTGCAGCTAAACAGTTTAATCTGAAGCACTAATTTTAAGTTTTTCTGAATTTTGCTTTCTACTGATTAAGATTTTTCAAAAATATCAATTCATAACATTCTTACAGTCAACTACCAAGACTAATACTGGCACTAATGATTCTAATGCCTTGAAAGAAAATACCGGAAGTCAAGGCCCTCCAAGTACCTCTAATTTGGGTGAAGATACTGTAAGTATTCCGGAGTCAAAAAGACTCTATTTACACTGAAAAAAAATTACTCTGATCAAATAAAAATTACGTTATTTAAGAAAATAATTTACTTGTAATATAATATAATAAATTTAAATAAATATCAAATAAATTTATCATTTATAAAAATTATTTCATTCAATACTGCTTGAGTAGCCAAAAGTTTTGCACATTTAAATGAACGAAATTTTTTTGCAACTTCTTTAAGTACGAATTTTATTACAAAATAATATTTTAAATATCTAAAAAGCAGATATTAATTTAATAATTTTTTAATTTGCTGTTTTATAATTTATAACCATCATAATTTTTATTAATTTATAGATTGAAAAAAATATTTAGTTCATTTGAACAATCAAAACTTCTTTACATATCAAAATCTATTTATTTCATCCAAATATTTTTTATTAGTTTTCATAGAATCATTTATTAAATATTGCGTTATTTCTATTAAATAAATTAGTTTTCTTGAATCAATCAAATAAATTTATTGTGTCAAATTATTTTTTATTTGTATCAAAAAACAAAATATTTGAGTAATATAAATAAAGGAATAGTTTCAAACAACACTATTTATATTCAAAATAAATATTTACTTGCTAGAAATATTCTTTTTTGTTTTCATAAAATAATGTATTAGTATTAAATACTGCATTATTCGCATTTAAAAAATTAGTGTAGTAGAATCAATAAAATAAATTTATTCTGTCAAATAATTTTTATTTGTATAAAAAATCAAATATTTGTGTAAAATAAATGAATACATTATTTTAAATAATTTATTATTTGTTAAAACTTTCATCTGTTTCAAATAATTTGATTTACTTAAATCAAACCTTTTTTTTATTGTGGAAAATGATAAGTTAACCATTTTTTTTAATTCCATTTCGGTCCAATTCTTCTTTGGTGGGGCCAAATTTCACCCAAAAATTAATTCTAATCTGCAAAATTCGGAATTGATAAAATTTGTATATTTAAAAAAAATGTTTTATTGATTCTTGAACAATTTTCAATTTTATTTATGTGCTGTTTTTGCATAAAATAATTTTTCTTTTTATTTATTATAATTGAGTAAGTTACTTAAATATAAACAGAAGTTTATGCGTCCAGATGAATGAAAACTAATATTTATATTTAAAGGCAGTTAATGTTTGTAGTATAATAATTAAAACTTTATTTATAAATATGTCTTATTTTCTATATTCTGTAAATTAGATTGCGTTCATTTTTACGATATATATAGAAAATAAACATTTACAGGTAAAAAAAATTAGATATAGATCGGGTCGCAGTGGAGGAGATGGTAAATTAGCTAGAGCAGCAGCATTTAAAGTAAGTTAAGAGTGTAAATCCAGGGTGTCTACTCACCGAGAATGTAAATTAACCAGGAAAAACTGGGATTTAGCCGGGAATTTTACGTCAAAACAGGGATTTTTCTTACTTACGTTTAAATCAAGTTTTATGAGTTTAATTATATATTAATTTTCTTTATGGATATAAAGGCTAGAAAAATAAGGAATTTTTTGAATGTTAGGTCATTTCGTTTCCAGGTCTACATTAAAAAGTTTATACCTAGTCAAGAGGTACAAAAAGCAATTTTCTGAGAAATTTTTCAAAGGAAGTTTTTGCATTAGATTATGTAACTTTTGAAGTAAAAGTAATATTTTTAATTTTGCAAAAAATATTGATTTTCGTGGTTGCTGCAATGATTTTCCCATGGCTTCTCTAAAAAAGGGTCTTACGGTGAGCAAGATATTTTTTCACTGGACAATCTGAAATAAAAAACAGCAAAATATTTGTTTAATATATAAGATCAAATCTTGTTTTTTAAGGAATAAAAAGTTCTACATTAACAAAGTTGCAGCATCTAAAAAAGTTTTTTTAATTTCTTTTTTTTAAAGCTGCTTTGTGTAAAAGCTTTGTGTAAATCTATTATTTTTTCATTCCTTCAAAAAAAACAAGATTTGATCTTATATTAACGAAATATTTTTTTATTTCAGATGATCCAGTTAGAAAATACCTTGCTCATCGTAAAACACCTATTTTTAGAGAAGCCGTGGGTAAATTGTCGCAGCAGTCACGAAAATCTACATTTTTATAAAATTACAAATATTGTTTATACTTTAAAATTTATATACTCCGATGGAGAAAATTCCATTCTAATAAATTAACAACTTTCTTAAAAGAAATGGCTTTTTTGGCCTCCTGGTATCATATGCTACCAAGTTTTATTTAAATTCGTTAGCTTACTCCGAAGAGATATCTATCCGTCCCGGGACTTTTGATATACCCTGTATAATGATTACTCTTTATTATATACCTAATCATTATTGTAATTGTGTAATAATTAAAAAATATTTTTTAGGTTACTAAAGAAGCAGAAAAGTTAAAAAAGAAAGAAGAACAGGAAAAGAAGAAAAAGAAGGAGGAAACGAATAAGAGAGAAAAATCACGAGATAGAGAAAGATCGAGAGACAGGAATGCAAGAAGAGATAGAAAAAGGTCTAGAAGCAAGAGCTCTAAATCAAAACAAGAACAGGACCAAGCACGATGTAAGAAAATTTTACAATTATGTATGCAGAATAGATTGGTTGTCATTATATTAATATATTTCCGGTTATTTGCAAAAACGTGACTTTTCAAATAAAATTTAAAAAACCTATCCTTCCAGATGAGATTTAAGAAATATTTGCAAATAATGTATGTAAATTACTTCATTTTCAAATAAAAATTACGAAAAAAAACTTGAAAAATAATTTTCGGGAAAATTTTCAACTTGATTAAATCTTTTTAATACTAACAATCCAAAAAAATAAACGTCATTTTTGCATTAGCAAATTTTGCAAGCCTTATCTGGAATTACAGGTTTCTCAATTCTTTCTTAAAACATGACGTTTTTCATCTGAAGAATCATGTTTTTGCACCTAATCGATAAGAATATACTATGAATATTTCAAATTAATAAACTATGCTACTGGTAATTTGTTATTTATGGTAATAGTTACTGGTGATATGTATTAAATAAATAAATAGTGAAGATAGATTATAAACAACATTTTACTAACTAAATTGTATTTTCTACCGCGAAAGGGATATTTTACTTTAAAATGGATAAAAACAACTTTTTGTGAAATTTTCGGAACCATAATATTTATTTACAAAATTTATTTTAGATGATATAGGGTCAGTTGGGGTAAATGGGGACAGCTTGTTATTATTAACCAAATTGACAAAAATGAAAAATTCATGTGAATTTCTGTTATATGAGTCAAAAATAAACCTGCAAATATTACCTTTTAAAGAAAGAAACTTGCGTAATTTGTGAAAAATGAGGATCGAAAATGTCGACGATCGAGGGCACCTCCAAAAAAGTTTATAAAATAATTTTCTCTAATCTTTGGTAATTTTTTTTAACAATTAGTAATATGAATTCTTAAACAAAAAATTTTTTAACCACAAAAACTGAAAGTCGAAAATATTATATTAATTTTTTATATGAATGATACACTTCATTTTTTTAACGAAATCTAAGTTGTTTCCAAGAAGAATATATAGATGAAAAAGTGGGCCATATAATGTTTCAACGTTAAAAATTAACATTTCTCACTACTTTTTGCTATTGGTAAAAAATTTTAATTTTCTCGTTTTAAATATTCCAGACCCACTTTTTCAGCTATATATTCTCACTGTAAAAATTCTAAGTTTTAGTTAAAAAAATAAAAATTTATTTTTGAATTTCATTTAACAAAGTCTTCTTAGTTAGTCATACATGCGATAAAAAAATTTTAAATTGAACGATATACTCCAAAATATACCAAAACGTCTACACCTTTCACACACTAAACATTAGTCTAAAAAAATTTTTTCTTTTATCATTTGAAAAAATATTTATAAAAAGAAAAAACGAATTTTTAAATTTTAATTATTTTTACTTGATAAACAATTAAATAAATTATTATATCAGACACACTTGGTTGCAAATTCAAAAACTTAAATTAAATCAAATTTTCTTCTTTTCAGATAAACCTAAATATTGGGAAAATGGGAAAAATAGAGGAGGATATCGAGGAAGCAGAGCAAATGGAGGAAATAGAAATGATAAAGAACAAAAAAAAAATCATTATAGTTAATAAGGGAGGAAACATATTTTGTTAAAATTGTATTTGAAAATTCAATTAGTTCATATTTTAAGGGGTTGGGTGGGTTTCAACTTTTTATTTTTTTTATTTTATTAAAAAATAGCTTAATATGGCTAGAATACTGTCCCACAATTCCAAATCGATTGGAGTTAATATTATAAGAGATACAGCCTTCGGAATTTCTTGAAAAACTGGAAAAGTCCTTGAATTATTTTTACCTTAAAAACCTGAAAAAGTTCTTAAATTTTGCATCAGGTACTGGAATTTTCATATTTCATGTAAGAATTTTTTTTCCCACCGCGTTTAGAAACACAAAATTGTAACCTTTTTTTGAATATACTCTTATGCAAAATTCAGGCCTCAAATTACACGATTTTTTTGACTCTTTTCAATGTATGAGACTATTTTTAACATAATTTAATAAAATGAGACATTTCCGACTTTTTTAAAATGTTTTTTAAAGAAAATACGACTTTATTAGAATAAAATTAAAATCGTCCAAAATTGAATTATTTAAAAAAATATTGATCAGAATTCTTCGCAAAATTAATTACATATTTAATAATTTTAATCATGTTCTCTAAAAATTCCAATATTTAAAATATTTTCGAATTGAATGTCCTTTTAAATGCAATTATATAAAATGCCTATGTAAAAAAAATTCATGAATTAAAATTGATGTGAGTTTCAATTATAAAAATTTCCTGAAATTCAATTATTTCTAAAAATTTTTACTTGAAATCTCCAAAAATTGATTTACTTCTAAAAATGTTAACTGAAACTTTTTCAAATTTCAATTATTTGAACATACATTTTTCTGAATAATATTGTTAATAAAGTTATTTGAAAATTTAATTATTTAAAACATTGTCTAAACTTCTGAATTCGAACAAATTAAATAAATCATATTTTGAACATTTTTTTAAAAATTATTTTTATTTGTCTTATAGGTACTAAATTGAATTTTTGACAAATTTGTCTCAGTTTAATTCTGAAATATTGTAATTTAAATTTCTTAAAAATATCCCTTTTAAGCATTTTTATTATAAGGAATTAATAAAACTTGTTTAATAATAATAATAATAATAATAATAATAAAATATTTACAAACTAATTGTTTATATTTAAATATTATAGAAAGGCCTTTTTTTAGTTTCCTGGTAATATAAATCGACGCTAAAATGACTTTTTTCTTCCTCCAAATTGGTTGCAAAGCCTGAAAATACAAAAATTTAAAAATATTAATTACTAATTATAACCTGGAAAAGCCCTAGAATTTTATTTGGCAAAAGCGCGAGACACCCTGCCTCTGAAACCCACCTAACCTCTTAACAGAAAAAATCGAATATTCAAAATTTTAATAAATTTAAAATTCTAATTCCAATTCTAAATTGTAACTAATTAAAACTTCAATTACGTTAAATTTTAATCAATAAAAAAATTCAATTCAGTTAGGGTACGCGACAAACGGTAGCTAAACTTCTCGGCTAAATGTTTTTCTTTCTGTTTCAAATACAATGTGATTACATCTATTCGTAAATAATTTATTTATGTATGTGAGATTAATGCTTTTTATATAATTAACATAATTTTCTTGAAGTACTCTGCCTTTAAGGATAATATTCTCATCACGCCACTCGCGTTTGACCCTCGAATAATAAATGTAATACTTATTACACATTATAATGAAAAAGTAAGTAGAAGAAAAAGACGATATTTATATTTTAAGCAATTCTATGTTTTAGCAAAAAAGTGTTCAATTTTACTCATATTTTTAGAAAAAAAATTGAAAAAACTTTTTGTTTGAAAAATGAGAATTTTTAAAATATTTTTAAATTCAAAATTTGAATATATTTTTTGTTTTCAAAATAAAGTTACTTTGTCTAAAAAAGGTATAACTTTTTTATTCAAACTCGAAGCAAAACATGTTAAAGAGAGAAAGGTTTTATTTTTACTCGCATTTTTCGAAAAAAAATTTAAAAAATTATTAATTTCTAATTATGATGAGAATGTAATAATAATAACCCCCCACAGCACCGAAAATTTCCTGAAAATTTCCTAAAGATTTATTTGCAAACTTCGGAAACTTTAATTGCAAAGTTTAGAGAAAATTGTATAAAGATTTAAATGTCCAATATGAATAAATGTTTGGCGTAAAACTTGAAGGAAGATTTAAATTAAATTTTCCAGAAATTTTCGACGCGAAAATTGAGTGAAGATTTAAATTAAAGTTTCGTGAAATGTTTGGCGTAAAAGTTGACTAAAAATTTAAATTAAATATTTATTACAAATTTATACCGAAAGTTGAGTGAAAATGTAATTTAAATATTCAGTCAATTTTTGTGACGAACATTTCCTAAAAATTTAAATTAAATTTTCAGAAAAGGTTGGACGAAAATATTTGTAAAAAATACAAAAATAATATTTAAGAAGTATTAATATTATTATTAATATTAATAATAATAATACATAGATAGATAGATAGATCTTTATTATTATTATTATTATTATTATTATCAATAAAAAAAATTTACTATCTAGGATTAAAAATAAAATAAATAATATACAAACATTGTTGCTCTGTTTTGATTCACATTGAATCAAGCACTGCATGCTTGTTGAGTAAGAACTTTTGAAAACAAATTATGGGGTGCTGGGGATTGAACCTACATTCGCCGCGCGCTAGCTAAAGACCCTAACCACTACACTACAGATATCTGGCTGAAAAAAAAAATCTTCCACACACTCTACAACTTACTGATAGACAAGTGATCCTACTTATCGACTGAAAAGTCGATAATATAAAGTTGTAGAGTGTGTGGAAGATTTTTTTTTCAGTCAGATATCTGTAGTGTAGTGGTTAGGGTCTTTAGCTAGCGCGCGGCGAATGTAGGTTCAATCCCCAGCACCCCATAATTTTTTTTCAAAAGTTCTTGCTCAACAAGAATGCAGTGCTTGATTCAATGTGAATCAAAGCAGAGCAACAATGTTTGTATATTATTTATTTTATTTTTAATCCCAGATAGTAAATTTTTTTTATTGATAATAATAATAATAATAATAAAGATCTATCTATCTATTACTATTATTAATATTAATAATAATATTAATACTTCTGAAATATTATTTTTGTATTTTTTACAAATATTTTCGTCCAACCTTTTCTGAAAATTTAATTTAAATTTTTAGGAAATGTTTGTCACAAAAATTGACTGAATATTTAAATTACATTTTCACTCAACTTTCGGTATAAATTTTTAATAAATATTTAATTTAAATTTTTAGTCAACTTTTACGCCAAACATTTCACGAAACTTTAATTTAAATCTTCACTCAATTTTCGCGTCGAAAATTTCTGGAAAATTTAATTTAAATCTTCCGTCAAGTTTTACGCCATACATTTATTCATATTGGACATTTAAATCTTTATACAATTTTCTCTAAACTTTGCAATTAAAGTTTCCGAAGTTTGCAAATAAATCTTTAGGAAATTTTCAGGAAATTTTCGGTGCTGTGGGGGACAATAATAAACAACTAAAAAAGGATAAAAATAAATAACAAAAATATATAAATTATATTATATTATTATGTATATAAATTTATTAATATTTTTTATTTCTATTAATAATTATTGTTTACTTACCTATCATGAGAAATTCGGATTCTCGCGACAAAAAGTGTATTAAAACATTATTCACAAATAATTAAGAACTTAACTTCAAACTGTAGCGCCATCTGTTATGTTCAGCTGAATCTAAAACTAACCGCTTACCGTCAAGCACTATCATGTGGTTGCGCGGTATTCAACATGGTAACTGGTCGACCAGTTATTACTACTTACCGGCAGTGCATTCTATATATTCCCTCGGAAAAATGTAAACATGATATTTTTTATTTATTTTAACAATAAGTGCAGTATTAAGTGCCAGTTTTTTTGTGTCAATTGTTGCAACAAATCATGCAGTTTTAATTGCATAACAATAAAGTGGTCAAATTAGTTGTTTCTTGTGTGTTTTTAACAAATCCCTGACTAACTTTCAAACCCCCTGAAAATAACACTTTTTTAAAAATTAATTTTGCAATAACAAAAAGTGTTATTTATATTGCAAAGTGGTCTTTTCTTTTGTTTAACAATTGTTTTTAAACAATCCCTGACAGTCCCTGACAAATCCCTGAGTTCAGGGATCTCTCAGGGATCACAATCCGCCAGGGGATTCACTGGAAAATGGTTGAAGTATCCCCTATTGAAAATCCACACATGGGAAACCACATGGGAAACCACATGGGATCCTATGTCAAAAACTATGTAAAACCCCATTCCCCATATGGGAAACCACATGGGATCCCATATAAAAACTCATGGGAAATTGGGACAGGAATTGGCATAGGAAAATATCAAAACGAGGTTCCTCCATGTCATTTCCTATGTCAAATCCCATGTCAAATATCATGTTAAATACCATGTTAAATACTAATTGAGATCCTTTATCACTTTTTTAAAAAATTTTCCCATGTCAAACCCCATGTCATTTCCCAAATAAAAACCTTTATCATTTTTTTGAAAAATTTTCCAATGTCATTTCCCATGTGAAATCTTTTATCATTTTTTTGAAAAATTTTCCCATGTCAAATCCTCTTTCGCCTTATCGAAAATACCCACATAGGAAAGCATATGGGAATCCACATGGGACACCATATTGGAATCCACATGGGAAATGGAATACGATTTCATGTGCATTCTTCCAAATGATAAAACAAATAGATTTAAGCATAGGAAATCATATAAGATTTCATATAGATTCTGAAATTTCAACCTAAGATTTCACATGGATTTACATATAGGAAACGATATAGGATTTTATTCGGGAATTTTTTAGTTGTCTGCTTTATGCAGGCAGCAGATTACAAAAAAAATTAATTATTTGATTAAATATCAAATAATAATACTTCAACTCATCTGAAAATAAAAAAAAGTTTACTTTACTTCTGCCTTAGACTCTCAGCTTTTATAGTATTCCAGACTGATCTCAACTGTGAGAGAAAATATTTTCACCATCTGGTGGTGAAACAATGAAACTATAATGACGATCAACATCTATATTGAAATTTCCTATGTCATTTCCCATGTGAAATCCTCTTTCATTTATTCGAAAAATTTTCCCATGTCATATCCCATGTGAAATCTTATCATTTTTTCGAAAAATTTTCCCATGTCATTTCCCATGTGAAATCCTTCATCATTTTTTTGACAAATTTTTCAATGACAAATCCTCTTTCGCCCTATCGAAAATACCCACATGGGAAAGCATATGGGAATCCACAGAGGAAATGGAATACGATAAAGGATTTCACATGGCAAATGACATGAGGTTTGACGTGGGAATTGATATGGGAAAATTTTTCCAAAAAATAATAAAAGATTTCACATGAGAAATGACATGGGAAAATTTTTTGAAAAAAATGATAAAGGAATTCACATGGGAAATGACATGGGAAAATTTTTCAAAAAAATGATAAGATTTCACATGGGAAATAACATAGGAAATTTCAATATAGATGTTGATCGTCATTATAGTTTCATTGTTTCACCACCAGATGGTGAAAATATTTTCTCTCACAGTTGAGATCA